TTCGCCTCTTCCTTTTTGGGGGCCTCCTCCTTCGCCTCTTCCTTTTTGGAGGCCTCCTTCTTTGCCTCTTCCTTGTTGGGGGCCTCTTCCTCCTTTGAATCCTCTTTGGCACACAACTTGCTTTAAAAGAAAGTTAAATGATAGAAAATGTAGTGAATGCATTGAAATAATGTTGGAACTTAGTGCACTCTGCCGTTGTATACACACAGAAAACGTAGTAACCATACCTTGCTGTTTTTGATTGTCCTTTTAGAAATTGGCAAACTGCACTCGGTTTTTTTAGTTGATCTTTCAGGGACACCACTTCTTTTTTCCATTCGGCCATCTCCTTATCATTTTCCTCTGTATTGTCATACATGACAGATTGTAAATGTTTCAAATGATGATTGATTCAAATCAATTTATCAGCTTTACTGCTTGTCTTCTGATGGGTAGCAGGGCAACTAGAGCCCATCCCATTTACAAAGCATTTGTATTTTTTTTTTAAATATAAAATTAAAGTCTCGTTTCATGAATACATGGGTTTCACTTACCTTTTAGGTTATCGACTTCTGTGTTGGAATCATGCTCAGTGTTCGGATTTTTCTGCAAAGTAGAGGAACAATTCTAGGCATGGTTTCAGTCCCTGCTCCGACACTCTACAAGATGACATCTACAAACAGGTTAGATGAGACTGAATATGTGTGTGTGTGTGTGTGTGTGTGTGTGTGTGTGTGTGTGTGAGAGAGAGAGAGAGAGAGAGGGGGGTTTCTTGGGTGTCCTGCATACTTTTGATTATGACCCCTATCTCTGCCCACCTTGTCTCCCTCGCAGATGTCCACTTTCCCCTTGGTCTCATCCGCCTTGACGTTCAGCGTGTGGGTCTCCTCCACCGTGGTTTTTTGCTCCGCTTGTATCCTGTCGATCTCCTGCCGCTGGTTGGTGATCTCGGTCTCATACTCCGTCAGCACATCATGGCTCACCCGCAGCTTGATGTCCTGGAACCTGCTGTGCTTTTCCTCCGTCTCCCGCGCCTTCCTCCGCACTTTTATCAGGCCGAACAAAATGAGAGACACCACTATTGTCACGGGCAGCAACACTTGAACCCTCATTTTTCTCTCACGCTCAGGGGGATGTGATGCGTCTTTGTGTGAAGGCGTCGGTCCCGCAGGATGGATGTGAGATGTGAGGATCAGACTTCTTCCTTTACGCGGAGTCACCTGCCTCCCATGTGGGACTGAGAGTTTGCAGCTCCTCGGTGTAAAATCCAGCTGGTTTACCTCCCTGCGTTTCAATCAGACTCAGAGATAGACTCACCTGCGCCTCTGGATTGGACAACTCAGGTGTGTTGGTGCCTGAGCTGCACAGCGCCCCCTGTAGTCTATGTGCTTAGAGACACGCCTTCTTCCTTCTGCGTGGCCTCCTCCCGGTGAATTCTGGTCGGTGCTTCTTCCTGCCCACTCGTTCCATATCCTGATCCCTATGAACACTTTATCATCATGATGAGGCCTCACGTAGATCAACAGTCCACCTTTACTTACTGTTCTCACTGTGTGTGTCTGTGTGTGTTTATTATTACACACTCTTTTTAATCCGGAACAGTGCAGGGAGGATTATTGTTTTGTGTATAAAATCCTACTATCCAAATAAATGTAGTGAGATGGTCGGATAAGATAGAATGAACAAGATAAGATAAGATGTGCCTTGATTGATGCTCCGTAGAGGAAAGAAATGACAGAGCAGTACATGGCAGTATAGCAGTGCAAGGGGAAAAATACAGTAAGTATAAAAATCTGAATAAAAATGAAAATATATACTATACTGTTCACTTGTTAAAGATGTGTTGACATTTTTGGAAAATGGGTTGAGACCGTTATGTGAAAATGAGTAAACTAAATGTATTATGTTTAAGGCTAATGTGTAAGTCTCCAGGAAGTCAATGTAAGTCCATGTAATGTATTCTGAAGTCAGTAAGACACAACTGTGTGTGTGTGTGTGTGTGTGTGTGTGTGTGTGTGTGTGTGTGTGTGTGTGTGTTGTCACGCCCAGCCTGTTGAGCAGGTAAAGCAAGTTTCAAACACTCAGTCGCAGAAAACCAGACCTGCAGATGACACGCGTCCACGACTGGAGGAGCGCGCACCTGTAATTCTCCACAGGTGATCGTCAGTAGCTGCTCCCTCCATCTGTCTGCGTCTCTGACCCGAACACCAACATGAAGATCGCCATCGTAGTCGTCGGCCTGAGTGTGGCCGTCATGACGGTGCTGATCTACGAGGCCATGCGCCAGGAGATCAGGCTGAGGGGCTTGAAAACCCGCACGGTGGAGAACAACGTGGCGGTGAGGAGGAAGGAGGAAGAGATCGTCGATGCGAAGAAGAAAATCCAGGAGCTGAAGTCGGAGCTGGACACCCACAACGCCAAGATGGACGATCTGAGGAAAAAGAAGGCAGATATCGAAAAGTCCACACAGGAGTTTGAGGAGAGTCTGAAGAACTGCAACACGGAGAAGGCAAGAAGGCACACACGCGTACACAACCTTGTACTTGTAGTTTATTTAAGACACTCAGAATCATTCCTCAGACCCTAGCTCATCCTAGATCATCCTTACATAACCTAAACTCTAACCTTAAGAGTGTCTCAAAAAGCAAGGCGTCCAAAATGTCCTCCAGTAAAATGGCTCCCACAGTGATAGCCTTACATCCACTCTCACACTGCTCCTGATGACAAATGCTTCCACCTGTTTCCTCATTAGGAAGAAGCAGAGAAGAAGAAGAAAGATGTTTCAGAGACCTTAACCAAACTCAAAGGTAAGGACTGGCTTTTGTTTAACTTCTGGGCAAATGTTTAAAAGTGTGCACCAACACTTAAACTGATCTGGATGAGACTGAGCAAACCCTAAGGTGTCTACGCATCTACACATCCATTTAAATCTCATGGGGGGTGAATTGGAGCAGCTGAGGTCTCGCACCAAGCACACAGGCCTCTGCAGAACCCAGTTACTAGGATTCCTGTTGCCAATTTAAGTTGCTTCAGTATGGTCTGGTAGAGCCTGACCTGTATGGATTTTTGGGGGCAATAGTGATATTTGCTATATATATATGAAAGAATATTGGCTATGGTACTTAAGAAAATTAATGTAATTGAGTCTTGATTCATTATAAATAACTAAATAAAAAGAGAACATAAATACAACCAAATATAAAGGACTTATATTAGGAAAATAAATGTTTTAATGTCTGGAGTAACATTTGTTTCTCTCTTTCACAAAATGTAATGTCCTCAGCTGATCAAGAGGAGGCTAAAAAGAAAGCAGAGGAGGATATTAAGAGCTTGAAACAACAGATCCTGGATAGAGACAAAGCTATTTGTGCCTTTGCTGACATGACGAAAGAAGAAGCACGGTAAGATCTGACACACTTCTGCACATCATCAACAATAAGAGTGTGAGACCTGTATAGGATTGAAGAGCAGCACCACTTTATATGCTGATGGTCACAAAAATAAAGATGTGAATGCCAATTGATTTTTTTATTTCCTGACTTTTGCAGGAAGCTGTGTGGTGTCAACGAAGCTCCAAAATAAAGTCCACTCAGAAAACTAAACATTAACCATGAACTTTTGAAAAGAGAAGCGTGCCATGCATACAAGGATACATCTGAAGTATGCATGGCATATGCATGAAAGTTTTGTAAACCCATTCTTGGAACAAATGGCAGGGACAGGGAGTGGGGAAATATGTTGCAAATGTTTTTTCTTTAAACGTGATTGTTTGTTATTAAAATCTCCTTTGCCTTTTGTCTCTGTAATGGACTTGTCACGTACTTGTGATTTAAGTCGTCATAAATACATGTTTACCAGAGTTTGAAGCAAAAAAAGCTTACCCTGATTCAACTGGTAAACTAGATGTGAAGCATCTGAATCAACCTGAGGCATATTCACTGTCTGCAATGTTGCCCTGCCCTCTGGTTAAACCTGAGTGATGACTAGTAACCAGAAAGGTATGTGATCATCAATGTAATCTCCAGTGTGAAGTAAATTAACACAATAAAATGTTTATGTAAATGAATACTGACATGCATGTTTCCAAACATATTTATTAAAAGCCACAGGAATTTGTATCCATTATCTGATTTGTACACAAAGTCTCACTTGGCTGAAGTTTTCTAGTGTTCCCTCCTGATTTAGAGGTGTTTGTACTGCAGAGCCTTAACTAATGCAATGTCAACTAAACAGGAAAAAAAACTAAAAGTACACAAATGCATGACTCATTATGTTCATCTGTCTGTTATGTATTCATCTCTTATTTGAAAAACTAAGTTTAATGATGCGTTCCTCTATCCCCCCCTAGTGTCCACCAAAGGATACAGACTGACAAATTAGCCTCAGTGTGAAAAAGGCGATGCCTCTGAGCATGTTTCCTCATCATGTCTCCGGCACCTGATCGAGCTCTGTGCTTGTGAAATCAGTGTGTCCCTGTATTTAATATTTAATTTCTGCAGAAAGGTCCCTTCTACCTAAATCCTACACACTGGACCTTTTAATCAAATCTGCAAAAAGCTGAAAGACATATGGTTGAATCTTGATTGAACAATTTATTCAAATAAAGTTAAGTTAAGTAGTGTCACTGTGTTAAGATTACAGTAGCAGGAAATTAAATGGCTAAGGTGGGTTCCATCTAATCTATATACATGGGTATATATGGATATATTGCGTGTGTAAAATAAGATAATCCTTGTCTAAATAGGCAGTAGTAAGTAATAAGTAACATGCAATACTGAAATATGTAAAGTGACCATTTATCTAGAAAAGGTGTTGACTGGGGATTCTTTGACGCTTGATTTGAATGAAGGGAGATCCAAAGAGGTCCAGGTAAATTCCAATGGTTGGTTTTTTGATAAATGAATGTTACAACTTGTAGTTTTGTAAAATAAATTAATCGAGGCAGAAAAGCTTAAAGTGTACAAAGCAGCAGTGAGGCCTATCCTCAGCAAACAAAGCAAGCACCCACTCAAACAGCGAGGTCAAAAAGCTGTGTGCTTCCAGTCAGCCTCACCTCCACCAGGTCACTCTCCTATTGATGGCCTTCTGACCTGCAGAGGGCACAAGAGCTCAGGAAAACATAAACACAGCAGGCATTAGAATAACTTATTAAATAAATAGCGAAATGGCTCCTACAATATGAATGGAATTAAACTAATATCAAACACTAGTGGAAACACCACTAGAATAAATGTTATATCCAATTCCTGCCAATAGGTCCCTTTCACCTAAATCTTACACACTGAACCTGAAGTCTGGAAGCGGGATCAGGTAAACAGAGGAAGTTTCCATCAAACAGTTCTGAGATCAGATCCTCACCAATACTGTCAATCTGATATTTTACTGCAGCTCTGTCTGATGTCATTGACACTGTTGTTTTAAATTGGTCGATCATCGTTTAAATAAAGTAAAAAAAAAAAAAAAAACTGGGAACAGCCAATCACAATGCGAGTTGTAAAGCACGTGGCCCAAGTGACGCAGTAACAGGAAGTGCGGGTCCCGATGACACATGAGAGGTTACAGATGAACGACCTGTGCAACTTTACGTGTTAATGTCGCAGCGAACGATTCTTTACGTCAACACAAAGCGTAGTGATGGCGTCCTGAGCAGAGGGTGACGTCACGCTCATCTGTGCCTATTTGTTTGATTTCATTTCTTTTAGTTAACGTGGATGAACTCGATGGGAGTCGAACCGTGTACAGTTCATAAAGTGACCCGGCTCCGTTTGTCCACAGGGGTTCAGTGCAAACATCGCATTGACGCACACATCGGTCCTCAGCTCTGAAAGCCGGTGTCTTCAACAACTTGTACCTCAGCCGCCATCACCTCAACCAGAGCAGACATGACGAGGAGCCTCGGTGGGTTGTTGTTCAGAGGCGTCCACAGCCTCACCTCTCTCCCGGCCAGGAGCACTCAGCTCGGCCACCTGTCAGCCTGCAGCGCGGTCAAGACCATGGTGGTAGGTAGAGTCCGCTGTTCTGATGAAAGGGACCGATAGAATAAAAAAGAATAGAACTATAGTTAGAGAACAAACTGCGGTGTGGAGCAATACAGAGCTGCAATGACTAGCTGATTAATCAGTTCATTACTGAACGTTGACTGATCTACAATTCACAGCCCTAATCCAAAACACTGGTGCGTGTTCCTGTACAAACACTGGACATATCACGATCAACTGAAAAACAGTCATGACCACTGAATGTTTGAGAGGAATGGCAACAAACACTGAACCTTGAAGTCATTTAAACGTATTTTATCAGTCTGTTGAGTTTTTTCTTTACACAGCTTATCTTATGAATGGAACCATGGGTTGGCTACATACATACATTTGATTTAAACATATGATATACCATCCTGTGTAGTTTTATATTATGTTGAGAGTCTAGGTAATCCAAGAAACCTCTTATCCAAGAAGCCTCATGGTTAAAAATGGGTAAAAATATTTCAGGACTAAAGCACATGTGATCAGGGAATAAAATAATACAATACTAAAACATTTAAATACAACCTTAATATAAATGTTATGATCAACAATAATCGTCTATTGTCTTTATATATTGTTATATGGCACAACCATAGGTGTCCGTGACTTGTAACAGCCACTTTTTCAAGAAACATCACTAACTAATATTTTTGTGCATTTAACTGTTTGGTAGACGCTGCCATCGTTTCTTTCCTCCAAGCCCCGGGACTTCAGCCTGCCCAACCCCTCGTGGGGCTCAGAAATGTTGCGGTTGTACGAGCATTACAGCAGCCAGTGTGAGGTGGAGACAGAGGGAGGAGAGAAAGACAGAGGGCTTTGGACGAGACTGCCAAGCTACAATCGCTCCCTCAAGTATGTCACAGGTAGAGCTGTCTATCATTAAACATTAAAGTAGAATTATATTTCTATCCTACAACATCTGTAATTATTATATGTTTTTCCTGAGCTGCAAAGATGTTGACTCACTTGTGCCTGTTGTTTTTTTTCCCATTAGGTGGATTTTATCTCAGTAAGATTATCCAGGCGAAAGCTCGTCTTTTTACCCGCAACATCCGAGAGGAGGGGGCAGGATTTGAATACGTTGTGTTTGTTAACAAAAAAGAGAAGAGGGTTGTGTGCATTTTCCAGGCTGGACACCTTCTGGAGGGGCCTCCAGGGTGAGAAAACAGAGACACCAGATAGCACTGTTGTTTGTGTATAGATGTCTATGTGCACCTGTTTTTTTACATTCCATTTCTACTTAGCCGTACTCTGAAAACAAAAGGGTAATATTATCTTGCATACATTTTCATATGTTATACCTGTTATATCTGAAAAGTAAATCAATATATTTAAGCATTCTTAAATAGATTTACAACTTAACACAACCTCACTTTTAAAACTTTGGACTTGATATGTATTGTATGTTTGTGTTTCCAGCTGTGTCCACGGGGGGGCGATAGCCACTATGATTGATACAGTGACAGGGACTCACGCCTCGGTAGTGTCCGGACCTGTTATGACCGCCAACCTCAACATGAATTACCGCAGGTACAGGAACAGAAAAACACGGAATATGTTGTTTA